TGTTTACTTTGGGAGAGAGACTGAACTACTGGTTACAGCTGGGGGACTCAGAGACAGGAATCCTGTTTTCTGTTCTTAGTCTTAAGAGGGGACAATGATCTGGGGGTTGAAATGAGGTGGTTGTGGGATTTGGGATGCCTGGGTTCTGTTCCTAGCTCTGTTCTCCACCTGTGTTTCCTGTGGGATAAAGAAATAGTGTAGGTGACTGTTGAGCAGGGCATGTGGGAGGCAAGACTGTAGCAGCTGATCAAGGTACAGTGTTAAACTGCAGAGCTGGAGAAGAAGCGCCTCTCCATTTTAAAAGGCAAACATCTCTGTTGAACTACCAGACCCTTGCTAATACATCGATGCAGTAAGTGTAAAAGCTTTACGGAGCTCATGAAGTCTAATGGGAAACTCCCCACATTCAGCTCTTAGTCCTGAGCCTTTGCTTTGAATCGCTGGGGAGACTTGTATGAACCCAGGCTCTCTTTGGGGATGATGAGTTCACTGGCTCCTGCTGTTCGGCGGTTTATGAACCTGGGGTGACTGTGATGTCACCATGATCTCAGCAGTTGATCTTCTTCATGTTTGTCAGGGGCCCGGGGGATGAAGAGATGGTTCTGATGAACTCCGAAGCGCAAAGATGTAGATGGCCCTGGTGCTAGGAACTGAGCAGAGAAATATCAAAAACCTCATTCAAAGGCAGGATGGCTTCTAAAGCAGAATGCGCCCTCTGAGACATTAGTGACTCTTATTTAATAACAGATGGATTTCTAACTGATTAAATTCCAGGAGCTGTGCTACAGTGTCTGCAGGGATCGGCAGCAGAGATGTACAATAGCGGCTACACAGCTTTTTACAATGCAGCACGGAAGATTTTTGATGCACTGAGCTTAGAGAGTCGAATCCAGTCTGCACTCTTGCCTCACCTGGGAAATAAGGGTCCATGTAATGGTGATCAACTGGGCTGGGGCCCAGTTGAGTAGAGAAGAACCCCAGAGACTGCATTTATTTCTGCCCTGTTGTGAAAGGAGCCTTTAGAGCCCTTGGCTGTGTGATTACTGACAGCAGAACCTGCGATCCCTTCCAGTTGCTTCTGCCTCTGCTCCTTGTGGCTTCCTCCAGATGTTGCAGGTGCATGGTGCCCTGAAGGTATGGCCAGTGCGGGTTTTACACTAATAAAGGGGGAGGGAGTGTGCAGTACTACACTCTTCCAGGCTCCCAGCTTCTGAGCTCTTATGCAGTCTGCTGGTGCATAGTTTGGCTGGAGAGGAGCTTTGTTACCTTTGCCCCAGTATCTCTTCCCTCCCTCTCAGCTGTCTGCTTCTTCTCAGTTGCAACAGCACTGGCGTAGAAGTACCTAATGAGATTTTCTAGATTTTACCTACCCGTTCCTTCCTGGAAAGGAGTCTCTAGGTCCTTGGTTTTATAATGCCACCATAGAGACCCCAGTAATGAGCAGGTGACACAAAGGCATAGAGGGGTGGACATAATCTTTTTTTATCCTTTCTCCATGATGACAAGTTTGGATTCACGTCCCTGAGGTTTCTTTCAATGTCTGAGAACCCTGCTTCACTCTAACAGCCTGTCTGCCACCCTTCTGATGCCCGAGGGATGGTATGGGAAGGAAGGTTGTGGCTGTAGCAAATGTAATGTTCATGGATTAGGTCAACCAGGAGCAGCTGTGGATAGGACATGTTAACAGTCTCTTAGCTAAGCACTGATTTTTGTGTCTGTTGAAGTTTAAAGCCCCACCTTGACACCCAGAGGCTTTTCCATTGTGCTTTGGAGCATCCACACAGAGGAGGTACCATGGGTTTGGAGATGGGCCACGGACACACGGTTCATATGTGGATCTGGCTATGTGAGGGCTTGAGGCCAGGCTTAGGTGAAGGATTTTGAGCTCAGTGGTGCATGGATCTTGTAAACAGCTCTTGTGGGTTTTTGGACCCAATTGGCAGAAATTGCTGCTGCCCTCCTGAGTCTGAACAGTGTGTGTGACTTCTAAACGTCACCGTGCAGATGTCTGAGCAAATTTCTGTGTGCTTCTTACCCAGCAAAGTGCTGTGGGAGTCTGAAGGAATGACATTATAATGAGATTCTGGTCAGGCACTGGGCTCTTTGAGGACTACAGGCTTCCTCTACACTGACTGCTCCTCAGGCCCGGTATAGGGTTAGATTTCTGTTGGGAAGAGGGGTTGTGTGGCTGCCATGCTGGGCTTCCTTCTCCCTGTTCTCTTCTTTTCCCTCATGACCACAAGCTAGTTTTTCAGGGTTGCTATAGCCTCCTCCTGCATGGCCAGGGGAAGCTTTGGTGCGCTGGGCATTCCCAGGGTCAAAGCATGAGACTAGCAGCAGATCCATAGCAGGGATGAGTTGCCACTACACCATTTCTGATAGTGGAGCATCACTGATTTATACCAGCTGAGGGGCTGGCTCTGGTTCTGTCCCCAGCTCTGCCACTTGCACATTGCCTGACTTTGGGCACCTGCTTTATCTCTCAGCTTTAACTTCTCCATCTGTCCAATGGTAATAACAATGTCTGCCTGCTCTCCAGGGGCTGTGAGGGCAAACACTTCGGAAAGAAAGACGAAGTGCTTAATTTTTCTTAACAAGCACATGATGAAGTGTGCCCAGCTC